TTCTGTGATCTCCAGTATTGCTGCTCTGGAGAATCAAATGAAAATGATTGATTCTGTCATGAACTGTCAGCAGCTGACCAGTTTAAAATCCATAGAAAATGGATCAGGGGAAAGTGACCATTTGAGCAATGATTCTTCATCGGCCGTTGGTGATCTTGAAAGCCAGAGTGCAGGCAGCCCTGCAATGTCAGAGTCTTCTTCCTCCATGCAAGCTTTGTCTCCTGTAAATAGCAATAGTGAAAGTTTCAGATCAAAGTCCCCAGGTCTCAGTAACCAGGAAGAACCACAAGAAATACAGTTAAAGACAGAAAAACCAGACAGTCCACCACCTGCAACTGAAAATGGAGGCGCATTAGATCTGACATCTACCAACCCAGGAAGACCGGTCATCAAAGAGGAGGCTCCTTTTAGCCTGCTGTTCCTGAACAGAGAACGTGGTAAGTTTAAAAGTACTGTTTGTAATATCTGTGGCAAGCCTTTTTCTTGTAAGAGTGCATTGGAAATTCACTACCGCAGCCATACTAAAGAACGTCCATTTGTTTGTACAGTCTGCAATCGTGGGTGTTCCACTATGGGTAATTTAAAACAGCACTTACTGACGCACAAATTAAAAGAGCTGCCTTCTCAGTTATTTGAACCCAACTTTACTCTAGGTCCCAGCCAAAGTACTCCTAGCCTGGTCACCAGTACAGCGCCTACCATGATCAAAATGGAAGTGAATGGTCACAGCAAGCCGATCTCTTTGGGTGAGGTTCCCTCGCTTCCAGCTGGAATCCAGGTTCCTGCTGCACCACAGACAGTGATGAGTCCGGGGATCACCCCTATGCTGGCACCCCCCCCTCGCCGGACTCCCAAGCAGCACAACTGTCAGTCGTGCGGGAAGACCTTCTCCTCAGCAAGTGCACTGCAGATACACGAGCGCACCCATACTGGTGAAAAACCATTTGGTTGCACAATCTGTGGTAGAGCTTTTACCACAAAGGGGAATCTTAAGGTAAGAGGCCAAATAAAACTGTAAAGGCTCAGGGTGGGGGGGAGTTAAGGCACAGTACTCAAACTTAGCAGGTTCTAGTGCTGTTTGTCCCGAAGACAGGAGAGAAGGGAACTTCAAGGAAATGCTGGCTCTGTGGTGGTTGTTATACTTACACCGTGTTGAAGGTAGGGATTGAAAAGCAACTGTGCAACGATGCAAGCTTTAAAACTCTTCCTGGGTGTACGTGCGCACACATGGTAGTTTGCCTGATAGATGTGGTGGCACATGCCATCAGCTGATGGATACGTTCTGGCCGTTCTTGTGGACCAGTGGTGGAAAACAACCTTGCTAGAATCTAGAAACGCAGAGCTTGCTCAGCTCCTTGGTGCCTCGCTCAGATTTCCATTTTCTCTTCTGCTTTGCAGCCATTGCAGCCTGGAAAGCTGCTTCCCACTGATTTACAGTGGGTTACGACAGGACTGACACTTCTTATTTCCACAGTCTGGTTAACCATCAGGACACAGCCTAGGGAATACATTTTCAATTGTAACTCTTAAAATACTATATTTAGTAAAATAATCAATGCCTCTGACATGAGATAAAATATGAAAATAGCAAAGAGGAAAAGCAGAAAAATTGTTAATCTCCTAGTAGAACTAACGTAGTTGGTAATCTTCAGCATGTGAGGACTTGCAGCTTGCATGGGAAATTGTCTAACCCAAGAGGATATGTATTCTGTATTCTTGTGGCACTGCATTTGTTATCACTGAGAAGAAACAAATGCAGGCTGAAAAATAACTGTGGAGCTGGGTTTTCTTTGTATAGGTTGACTGGTCCTTAGAACCATGTCTTAACTGGAATTGATTAGTTTTCAATGTGAATTAAAAGGTATTCTTTAAAAAAGCGAGTGGTACTGTGAGCAGCAGAAATTCAGGGCAGCCACCTCACCAGAACTTGCTAACTTGGGGGTGCTTCTTGTCCCTCTTTGCTCCACAGGTTCACATGGGAACTCACATGTGGAATAATGCTCCTGCACGCCGCGGCCGCCGCCTCTCTGTGGAAAATCCCATGGCTCTGCTCGGTGGCGACGCACTCAAGTTCTCTGAGATGTTCCAGAAGGATTTGGCAGCTCGGGCCATGAACGTTGACCCAAATTTTTGGAACCAATACGCTGCAGCTATCACTAATGGACTTGCTATGAAGAACAATGAGATTTCTGTCATACAGAACGGAGGCATTCCCCAGCTCCCAGTAAGTCTAGGCGGAGGCGCCATCCCGCCTCTAAGTAACCTTACCGGTGGCATGGACAAAGCTCGCACGGGCAGCAGCCCTCCCATTGTGGGTCTGGACAAAGCAAGTTCTGAAACAGGAGCCAGTCGTCCATTCACCAGATTTATTGAGGATAATAAAGAGATTGGCATAAATTAAAAGCATTCATTCCGAATAACTGTTGGACTGCTACGCAACACAACACTTGTCCTTTTCCATGTACAGCTTTTAAAGCTAAGCATTAGTTTCCTGACCTAAATGCATAGGTTCCCCTTAAAGTTTTGCCCATAGCAGAAATACATAACTTTGTGGCTGCTGAAAAGTTGTCTTGCAAGATCTGCATGGTACTTCTTTCAACAGTGAGTTTGACTGTTACTGAGAACTTTGAAACCTTTTAATTTAACAGAAAACAAACAAGCAAACAAATCATGGGATAACTTCATTAGAAACAGAAAGAGGCCAGTCTGTGTCCACTTTGCTTCTTACAAAACTTACCATCACCTGAGAAAGGGAGGCTTCATTAAGGCATTCTGTCACACTTCTTTGCTGGTTTTGTTCGAATTAGTTAGCAACTTGGACTATGTTTTTAGGACTCTTAAATAAGTGATTTAGTACCCCAATGCTGTGTATTATTACAGTATCCTTGTCTGTAGTATTTATAATGTTATGATTATGCGGGTAACAGACAATATACTAGCCCCAAACTTAAATGAAGCTTTTGTACTGCAAAATACATCTGGCTATGTCATTTTCTTTTTTCTTTTTTCTTTTTTTAAAGCAAGTTTTGTTCTACTATAAATGTTTATTTCAATGCAGGCAAAATTGTGAAGTTTTATTGGGGAAGATAGCATGCTTTTCATGTGCGAGTACCTGTCAGTAACAAACCTTTTTTTAATTTAAGTATTTGTAGCTGCTACGTGGACAGTTGTTCTATTAAATGAAAAAAAATAAAAATGTAGTGTGGACTTTAGCTCAATGATTGGAAAACAAGTTACAGACAAACCTTAGCACCATAAATTATTCACAACATTATAAACAGTTGTGAGTAAATACTCCATGTTATCAAAGCTGTACAATAAAACGGTAATGTTTGTATAATGTGGTTGCAAACTCTTTAATTTATACTATTGCACTTTTAGTATTTTGTATTAGGGAGGTTTGTCTATAATTTGAACTGAACAAAGATGTAAACTATTTTATAAATAGTACTTTGACTTGAGGAATGAGGAGGAGAACCCTGTTGCAGTGTCTTGTTTTGTTTTAAGGTGAAACAATGAGAGATCTCTATGAACTAACCAGGAAAGCTGCAGAGAACTGTCAGATCCTTAGGAAATACGGGCCCTACCATTTCTTAAATGGAAATTATTCATTTAACTTTTCTACAAAGCCCACTTAAAAGCATGACCACCCCAACAGAATTCTGACACATTTGTCTTAGGAGTATGATAATACTACAAGCCTAGGATAGAGGAGGGAGAACATTGGGTAGGTTTAATTTTACTGTGGTCTGTCTCTTTCACACATACCCACCAGAAAGATGTCGACTGCCTAATAGCATGGGAACAAAACAGTAATTTTGGAGCAGTGTGAGCAGGAGTAACATACAAATATTTGTATTTATTTCCAACTCTTGCAGATTATCTTCTCAGATTGCTCCAAAGCACAATGTACTCTGATTAATTTAACAGAATTTTATGTGGATTGTGTAGTTTAAATTATACCCAGTAAATAAAGGGAGTGGTTCCACTCAGAAGCTAGGCTGTGGATGCTGAGGAGGCTGGGGCTTAATCAAAACTTGAACAGGCAATGTTTTGTGTACTACCTCATTTTTGTGCATTACAAGCATGGTGGAATTGACACTATGAACTTCCGTCCAGTCGAATTGCTTGAGGAACATTATGGGTAGCTGGGTAACAGCCCAAGGAGTTTTATGCCCCTGAAGAATGAATCAAACAGTGAGGTCTTCTCAGTAGAGACTGAAAAATAGGACAATCTTTCTTATACAACAAAAACATTACTGTAAGAGGATGGACTGTTTCTGCCATCATATAATGGAGTGAAAAGAGGTTCAGAGACTTATAAGCTGTTTGTTTCTGTTGAAAATGAACAATGAACTCTACGGCTCCATTTTCTACAGTGATGAGATAGAGATATATAGATATATACATCTATGTATAAGCATAACTATATATATGTAACACCTCTGCATTATAACATCTTTTTTTGCCACAGTATGTGGGTGGTTAGGGGTGTTTCCAAGCATTGAAAAAAGGAAAACTGAGGTGGCTTAACATTGCTGTATTACAGCAACTGAATGTTTTTATTTATCTGTGTCATTTTTGGTGTGGCTTTTTTTTTTTTTGTTAGTATTTGGTACCATGTAGTGTTATCTCTATTCCCTAAAGGATGTGTATAACATAAAAAAAAAAAAAAAAGAAAGAAAGAAAAAAAAAAAGAAAAAGAGAAGAAAAAATTAACAAGTCAAAAAAAGGAAAAAAATATGTAAAGTGTTGTAAATAAGATGGTTGATGATGGTACAATAAGACTGACCCCATTTTGTATTCAGGGTTAGGTCATTCCTCTCTGCATGGTGAAGAGAGACACTATTTTTATACTGTGATACCATGTAGGGCTAGGAGCCTCCCTGAACCAGCTGGGAATTGTTACCTAGATCCAATATTTTTTATTATTAAATCTTGTTGGCTTGACACATCTACTGATTGAAATGGATGTCTTAGTCTAGGTTACTATTTTTGTCATATGGAATTGAATAAAATGCAGGATGTAATATTATTTCTGAATTGCGTTCCTTGATTATTCTAATAACAGAGCAAGATCTGAGAATAAGGTCACTTGTGGTAGATTGGTGTCGATGACTTCTAATCGTCACATCTGAAAATCGGAATAAGGTCGACACCTTCTATTCAAATGCTATTCTAATATATATTAACAGTGCAAAGGGGTGGAATAGTTAAAGTCTCTTTTCCAATGAAAATAAATTGTAGGAGCATTTCTCACAAGACAGTAGAAAAAAACAAACGAACAAAAAACCAAACCCAAAACATTTTGGAGATGGGGAAACCAGCCTTTGGAAGGACTACTGTTTCAAATCAACTGTTTTCTGAACACTTATGTACTGTCTGCCAAAAAAGCCTCCTCTTCACATTGTTTAAACATCTGACTAATCTTCACAATACACTACATGATAAAATTTGGTAGCAAAATTACCAGGAGCAGTTAAAAGTCTAAAATACAAAAAGAAATTACTAAATTGACAACTCGCATCCATTCATTCCAAATGACATAACCTGTATGCTTAAACCCGTGGCTTTGTTTCTTCTTTTTTTTTCCCAAGACCCTGTTTATTGAAGCACGTCTAACTCTAACCAAAACATTTTCTCATGTTGATTTCAGTGAAAGTATTTACATTCTTAAGGTTAGGCATGTGATTAAGTATCTCCTGCAAAAAAAGCTGTATGTTTGAGTAACCTTCAAGCTGTTATAATCCAGTAATGAGTGCCTGTTGCATTTAAAATGGACAAAAGATAAATAAAATAGAGAAATCTGTATTACTCATCGGCCTTGTTATGAAGATACTCTGTTTTGTAAGACCTAACCAAAGAAGATAAGAGTTTTCTTTGATGACTTAACAACAATAGGTTTGTGCTTGTGTTCCTGCACACACATCCCTGAGCCTTGCTGAGAGAAAACGTTATGCAAAAGAAAAGGGAAGCAAAGGAGCACTGGCTGTTACGGTTCTGTTCAAAACACAAGAGGAAATTACCTGCCTCCTACTAAAAAAGGATGAAGGCAGAAGGTTTCTGTTTCAAATACGTATGGGTTGGGTTTTTTTATTAGAAGAAGACATTGAATAATAAAATATGCTACACAGATAAAAATGGTAGAAGTATGCTGAACTACAGATGTTTAAAAATAGAGCCATGTAGATCTCTATATAAATCAGGAAAATTTACAGTTATAATTTTTTAAGGGAAGGGTTATTTTACAATATGAAAATACCAGCAAGGCATTCAAACTGTTCACTTTTCTTTTTCCTAGGAGTTACTATAAAAACAGCATTTATGACAAATTATTAACATAACTACTTCACTTTTGTGTGTGTGTGTGTATTAGCCTTTAATATATTATCTGTTCCCTTACCTATTTTGTCCTTCCTATCTTGGCAAATACTTTGTTTTCCTAAAGCTGCAGTTGTGCTGTATTTTTGTTGCCTTTAATTTACTTCTCTGCATGTACTCTTGTCACTTGGAAGATACTGTTTGTGCTGTATTTTTGTTGCCTTTAATTGCCTGCATGTACTCTTGTCACTTGGAAGATACTGTGTTTTATTTTTTCCTTTTTCTTTAATTCTGCAGAAATCAAAAGAGCTGCCTGTTTTTTACATCTATGTGTAACACTAGCATAATGAATGATGAAGTCATCAGTGATGTGATCAGGTATGTGTGTAGCTTGCAGGATTTCTTAACAAGCACGCTGTTGTCATTTTTACCTCCAGATGAAGGCATGAAGTTTGTTAGTGTTGCTGGTAAAGGGCAGCCACATGTGGTCAGGAGGATGCTCTGATCCTAACTTCACTGCACCTGCTTTTCCACCACTGGAAACTCCATGGGCTTCAGTGGAGATACCTTGGGTTTATACTGGTGCAAGAGGAACTGCTTCCAGGTTCAGATGTCTTGCTTTACATGTCATCAAAACAATGACTAGCTATATGGTATTTTAAAAGTAAGTCTGGGCAAAAGCATTCTGGACATTATTTTTAAAAAGAGGGAAAAAAGCATACATATGTTTTAGTACATAACACAGGACTATCACAATTTTAAAGGAGGTCCTGAAAGCTGAATCTAAAAAAAAGATGACTGTGCCTCTTACTATAAATCTGATGTCATCATATGAATAAACGGTCCTTTTTCACATTAAAGTGGAAGAATGTGTGAATCTTGCTACGGTTCTACTACACAAGGTAGGCACTCACAAGGAAATACCTTCCCTTTAAGACATTAAAGGTATCAGCAGACTGATGAAGAGCAAAAGACAAGTTTGTGCATGTCACAGCATCAATGTATAGTATTGGGTTTTTTTCAGAAGGGGGAATGTCTCAGTCAATTAACAAAGCAACAGATTTGAAAGCCAACAACTTT